GTGCCATTTAGACCTCAGAAACTCACTGGGTCATGTATTTTTCTGACCTTCTTTTTCTGATGAGGAAGCTGAGCATGTGGTGAACTAACCTGCCCGCGATGCAGTTCAGGCCCAGCCGATGGCCCAGCCTGTACTCCACCCTCACCACGCCACCTGTGCCCACTAGCAGAGATGAGGACCTTGTGCAAGGGAGACGGGAGTTGTGAGGCGCCCTAGGGAAACCCCAGCTTCTCTTGCCTTCAAGCTTGCTGCAGGTTTGTTTGTTTGTTTGGGTTTTGTTTTTGTTTTGGAGATGGAGTCTCACTCTGTCACTCAGGCTAGAGTGCAGTGGTGTGATCTCGGCTCACTGCAACCTCTACCTCCTGGGTTCAAGCAGTTCTCCTGCCTCAGCCTCCCCAGTAGCTGGGACTATAGGCACGTGCCACCACACCCAGCTAATTTTTTTTTGTTTGTATTTTCAGTAGAGACGGGGTTTCACTGTGTTAGCCAGAATGGTCTCGATCTCCTGACCTCGTGATGTGCCCACCTCAGCCTCCCAAAGCGCTAGGATTATAGGTGTGAGCCAGGTGCCCAGCCACAGTTTCTAATCTATTTGGAGGCAAGGATAATGTCCTCAGGGAATGTTTGTCCCTCCCCTTCCTCCCGCCCCCAGGGACACACCACATTTGGCCCACGGAAGGACCGACTTCTGATTTTGTGTATCATGTGGCTGTTATCAAGGAAAGTAAAGATGGTAAATAATCTGGAGAATTCTATTCTGGAATGTGTGATAACTTTGACACTGAATGAAAAAGGCAAAAGGAAATGGAGGCAATTCATCAGCAAATTTGCACATGTCAGGATGGAGTAGTACATCAAACCGTGGTCCAAACTGCCTAGAATGTTCAAGCAGAAGACTCTGAGTGCTTCTTTGCGTGATTTAACAATGTATGTTTTTTCAGCTCTCAGTTCCCTCTTTCTCCTGATGGTGCTCTCATTTCTGTAGAGTATATTAAACATTATGCCATGTATATGTATGTGTGTATATGTGTATGTGGCTATCTCAGATACGTTTGAAGCAAATACAGTCTAAACGTGTAAGCATACACATAGCTTTATTAACCAAAGGAATAGAAGAGGAGGGAATTGAGAAAAGGGAAAGGAAGAGAATGTTTATTCACTTACAAAAACTATTTGTTAAGTATGTGCTAGTGGGCAGACATCATTTTAGACATTTAGTTCACTGTCACAGTAAACATAGCATGGTCCCTGCCCTCAGGTTGCCCAGAGTTTAGTGGGAGAGGCTGCTCAGCAAACAAGCAGCCATGGCAGGTCTGGCGTCTTCAGGGAGGCAGCTCGGGGGCTGTGGGAGCACGTCTGAGGTACAGCTTGAACCATTCTGGGGAAACCAAGTCATCCTGGGGGAAATCTGAGGCTTGAGGGATAAGAAGCAAGAGGAGAAAGTATTCATTCATTAGATGTTTACAGAGCCCCTTCTCTGTGCCAGGCCCTGTTGTAAGCCCAGTGATGGGAGACATGGTTCCTGCTTTTTTGAGTTTACAGTCCTGTGGGAGATGATGGCAAACAGGCAAAAACTAATAAAGGAAAATGGCTTTAGATGGTGGTGAGTGAGATTTAAGAGGGTAAAGCGGTTGGGAGCGTATGTTTCAGGCAGAGGGAGGAGAATGTAGTGCAAAGTCCCAGAAAGGGAGGCAACTTCCTTTGTTCGGGGACCCTGTCTCTTAGGACAGGGTCTAATCTGGCACTGTAGGGATCAACTGGTATTAGCAAAGCTAGTCAACTCCTAAAGGAAGGAGAAGCAAAAACCAAGGGAAAATGCAGAGAAATTAAAGTCATTAGACAGTATGAGTCAGAGTCACTGATCATGAGCCATGTCTTTGTGGTCTCCTAAGCCCCTAAACTGGGGTCCTGGGACTGGACATCTGTGATGCAAAGAAAGTTCTTTCGCCCATTGTCTTGAGGAACCAAAGGTCCATGAAAAGGGAGACCTTGGAGGAGGATGGCATCTGCAGGGAGGCAGCTCAGGGGCTTGGAGGGGCTGAGGGGCTGTGATTCCATCTTTGTTTTCATGGCCTCCATTCTGTTGGTTGTGAAATAATTTGCTTAAAATTGTGGCCTTGCACATTTATCTATTTTTTAATGAAGTTTCGTCATTTGGAAGTATAAAAAACTGGTTTGAATCTTTGTTAGAACAAAAGGAAAAAAATGTAATCAGAATTCTCTTCTTACAGCTGCTTCTTGGCTTGGGTATTATTTACGGAGGGCACACTGGCTTAGACAAGGGCTCTGAGGGTTCACTCCTACAATTGGGTGATCTCAAAGAAAATGAACATTGTTTAACGAATATTCTGGCTTCCTCTCAGAGTGGGCAGCCACAGAGTGCAGAGCTCTGGACAGGAGATTCCTTCTGGAGTGGGCTTTGCCCTTGGCACGGGCAGCCACAGAAGACCAAGGCGCAGCTGCAGCTGGGTCCTGCCCTAGACCCATGCAGGCAGAGGAGAGGCACTGTCAGGGCTTGCTCCTGGCTGGGGGCCTGGGCTGGAGCACTTGGAATAGACGCTCTTCTGCCCTTCTGCAGCTGCGCAGTCTGTAGCGGCCCTCTCACTCCCACTCCTCAAGGGTGGCAGACATGCCAGGTCCTAAACACCATTGCTGAACTTCTGAACTAGTCACATACATTTATAGCAAATAAAATATTTTCTCAGACTTGTGGGTAACACACTGAGAAAGAAGAGACATGCTGAAGAAGCGTAGAAAATGCCTTCCTTTAAAGGAAGTAGAGGGCTCACTAGCCTGAAGGCTCATGAAGAGAGGCCTAAGAACCACAGAGTTAGGAATGATTCTCCTCTCTGGGCTGGGCCTTGCTTTGGCTCTTTTCATCATAATGAGATGAAAATGTTAGGACACTGGTTTATAGGACACTGTTGCTTTGAAATACATGGCCTATTACATTTGAGAAACACCATACTCTGCTATCTCCTCTTGGAGCCTGACCGTATATATTAGGGCTCTGAAAAGTCCTGCAGTTAAGAAACAACTTCTCTTTACCCCAGGGTTTCCAAAACTTATGTGATCACAAAATCCAACTTTTACCTAACACCCATCACCTCTTGAAGGACAAGGAAACACTGGTCTTTAGAATGTTAAGGGGGAAATATTCTGACTTCACAATACCACATGCAACCTATTTGCCTCTCCTGTGCTGAGGGAAATAGGATGTTTTTATAAATGCAAGGACTCAAAAAGATACCAGTTATATGCGACCCTTACAGTTTGACTTTAAGATGTATTCTAGTGGGACATAGTTGGAGGTCAAGGGACAAAAGGAAGTAGAATGGCAGTAAACACATGGCTGAGAAATCAGGATGGAGCCAAATTGTGGCTAGTTTTCTGTATTAAATCTAAAACTGAAACTTGTCCTGGTGGGTGGGTTCTGTTAAGCAGACTCCCAAGTCCACCTACCCCACCAGCTGCATGGAGGGTCGCAGGCCCGCCCCACAAACTGTGTCCCTGGCAGAACACAGAGTTTTAGAGCAGGAGAGAAAATGACTGGCTTCCAGGCTGCCGCCACAAGGCTGTTCCTGAGCCCTGCCCAGGTGCACTGACCCCCATAGAGATAGGAAGCCAAGAGAAGGGAACCCTGCTTCTGCTCACCCAGCCGCAGGTCAAGCCGCACAGAGAAAGGGGCAAGGCAGGTCTTATTTTCAGCTTCTGTAGCTCGGTATCCCCACCCACTGGTAATCCGGCCAGCTGATGTCCTCTCTTAACAGCAGAGGAAGAGCTGCTCCCCTTCCTTTGGGGAAGAGTGAGTAAGAACTGTTCCCTCCCCAGGTTGAGAGGAACAGGAGTCCCTGTGTTGATGGGTTGAGGCAGTAACTCGAGCAGGAAGGTTTTCCTACACAGAACTGCGGAGGCTTGGGCAGAGGGAAAGACTGGAACGACTGCCCTAACCTGACTGTCTTGGTGGATGGTGCCCTCACTAAATAAGATGGACCATAAGAAGAACAACAGATGAAAGGGACGGTAATTGGTTGGATTTCAGTAGAATTTGAGCTGTCTTGGGTACTTTTGGCAGAGGACTTGAGTAGCCAGTTGGAAATGTGCACGTGGAGTTCCCAAGAACTGTTGGCAACTGCAGGTGACAGCTGGGGCCAGGGAAGGATGGGATTGGCCAAGGCAAACATGGAAGACAGGGCTCTCCACCAGGAAGACAGGCACTGGCTCTGAAGCTCTTAGGAAGCGCCTCCCAAGCACCTGTGCCCAGAGGCTCCAGCCACCCCGCCATCTGCTCCCACTCTTCCTGGTACCCAGTGATCCTGAAAACATCCTGTGCCTCCCAGAGCAATGCAAGCAGGCGTGGCCTGGGAGGCCACGGGACCCCAGGGGACACTGCGCCAGAAGGCACGGGGTGGAGAGGAGTGCACAGAGGGATAAGAAAAGATCCATGCGAGTGTGGGGTTTTTTTTAAACTTTAATTTTTGTTTCCATCCATTGCAGCCACCTCCTCTTTATCTTTTTCATTATCCCTCCTCCCCACTTTCCTTTTTTAATGTGGAAATTGAGCAGAAGACTTCGCTAAGCTTAACTAAGGAAGCAGTGGAGGAGGAGCTAGTGAGGTTGTTAAAAACCCCGTAGCCTGTGCGTCCCTTCTGCTGGCATGCCGGCACCTGGCAGGCACGCCAGCAATATTTTTTTTTTTTTTTGAGACGGAGTTTCGCTCTTGTTGCCCAGGCTGGAGTGCAATGGCGCGATCTCGGCTCACCGCAACCTCCGCCTCCTGGGCTCAGGCAGTTCTCCTGCCTCAGCCTCCTGAGTAGCTGGGACTACAGGCACGCACCACCATGCCCAGCTAATTTTTGTATTTTTAGTAGAGACGGGGTTTCACCATGTTGACCAGGATGGTCTCGATCTCTTGACCTCGTGATCCACCCGCCTCGGCCTCCCACAGTGCTGGGATTACAGGCGTGAGCCACCGCGCCCGGCCCGCCAGCAATATTTACAAATAGGAGTGTTTTCTCTGTCTTGAGGTTGTTATTTAGGGCATGTCCGTGTTGCGGAGTATTTAAAGCCACCTGAATGAAGTTTTCTGAAATGTTCCAAAGAACTAATAAACGTCGTCTAGGTTTTCCTCACATTAAGTTTAACTCTAAGCTTATAACATGAGTGCTTCCCTCGAGTTTTCAAATATCCACTAAATTAAATGAGACTAAAAATTAAAAGAGCTCAGAGGTCACATCTTTCACCTTTTGATGCCTCAGCCTAATTATATTAAAAATTTCTAGGAATTTACTGTCTTTTTGTGGCGTTACTATCAGGAAGGTTAAAATGCTAACTTACACTCAACATTGAAATCACAAACATTTGATCGTTACGTGACTAATACACCACTGCATTCTAATTTGTATCATTAGTACTATGAAATCGGACGTATTGACTTTAAAGATGGCAGTGTACTGAGAAAAAGAGTTAACTTCTACTTCCTGAAATTAAGCATTTCTGAACAGATATTAATCAAATCTGCAGAAAAGAGAAAGGCAGATAACGTAGGTCTCAAGGCTCAGTGTTTCCTCCCTAACGGCTTTGCCAACAGAGACACAGATAGTCTGTCTCTCCCGGGCCTTCCTCTTCACCACCTTTTCCTCTCCTGCTCCTGCTGTGGCCCCGTCTTATCTGTACTTCATGTACATTAAGCGTAATAGTGAACATTGAAGAAACGTCTCCTTGGGAAATTACCTGTTTTATTTTATTGATTCAGGATCAAATTAAGAAATAAGATAATGAGACATGTCAAAGAAAACTAATACATAGAAGATGAAACTTGCAATTCTAATGCTTCTCCTGGCAAAGAAGACATTTCCCACCAAATCATTAAGAACTCATGAGAGCCTCCATTTTCCTAATTCCAGATTGTGTATTTACTTGAGTGCCCAGCCCAGGCCTACAGGATAGGGCCCCACTCCATCAAAGCTCCTGTCTCCTCCTGAGCCCAGCAGATGATATCTTCTCTTATACCCTCCTCCATCCTTCTTCCCAGAACACTCCAGGTACTATTTTCTATTTTCTGGGGCATGTGGTACAGTTCACCTTTTCCTGAGAGGCCGCATAGCTTAGCGGAGAGCTCTCAGGCTTTGGCATCAGTGAGTTGTGGGTCTGACCCCGATCCACCAGGCCAGCTATCTGATCTTAGATTTCTCAGCTCTTCTAGAACGGAGCCTCAGTCTCTTCAGCCTTACAATGGGGAAAATATCTGCCTGTCAGGATTGTTAAGATTAAATGAAAGTGTGAACTCAGTACAGGCCTGGCACACAGTAGGTGCTTAGATATCTGTTTTCAAATTTCTGTCTTGATGTGTCATATAGCTTGTATATTTCCACCTTAAGAAATACAGGTTTGGGGTGAAAAGTGTTATTGGTAACTGCCGAATGTATATTTCATCCAATCAGTGATCCAGGAGACAAAAGGAATGGGTTTGGTTTGGGGAAGTGATAAGGAGGCAGTTCCACATAGGAGGAGAGAAAGGGAAAGTGGCGTTAGCAAAGACAGAGGGGCAGGAAAATGCAGGCTGTGTTTGTGGAACCCAGACAGCTGCAGGGACGATAAGAGCAGAAGAGGCCATTGGCCCCAAATTGTGGAGCACCACAATAAGTTTTGCCTTTTAGGCTGAACAAAATGAAGATTTCTTAGCAGAATAAAGTGATTAACAATGTCTTCAGAAGGCTGTGTGTGGGAACAGTTAACTGAATGAATGAAAACAGTGCCTCTCTACTCAGTGTGTGTGCCGCACCCCTGTTGTATCTCCAGGTGCCCAGAATATGCTCCAAGGTGCGTCAGACCCAGTGAACAACACAAGATTGATAAGACAGTGACCACACATCTAATGCGCCTCTTTTTTGGCTGTAAATACCAAGAACCCACCTTAACTTAAAAAGAGAAAATGTACGGGCTTACGTCGCTAGAAGCCCAAGGGCTAGATCCAAGGTGTCATACAATATCATTGAGACCTCTGTGGTGCCACCTCTGGGATGGCTTCACGTGTAATAGACAGTCTTTCTCCTTGGCAAAATCCCCAGATTCAGACACCCTTGGGCTCACACCACCTCTACTGGGGCACTCCTGTTTTTCCCTCAAAAGCACTCTTCTTGGTTCTGTTTGTGCCTATCCCTGAGCCAAACACTGTTTCCTGGGCTAGAATCCTGGGCCTGGGTCCCTCCCATGTGGCCCAGAGGGAATAGCAACCTTAGCAGGTTTGGAGCGAGAGTGGCAGTAGTTCCTGAAAACAAAGGTGCCAGACAGGCAAAAAATAACAAGCACCCCACAAAACACCATGCAAAGAAAACACTGGGTAGAAGACAGCAGAATAGACTGTCCTCGAGGAGGGGGATGAGAGAGGGCATGAAGGAAGAGCTGTCAGGTACAGGGATAAAGATAAGAGCCAAAAACTCAGCTAATTAACTCTGAGTTCACCTTGTTCATTCTGCTTCAACTTTCCATTAATTTTTACTTTTCCTTTATTAAAAATTCTACTTTGAGGGTAGTGCTTTTGGAGCCAATTATTCCTCACAGCCTCTGGATGAGAGTTGGCCAAGGTAAGCAAGACATACTTTAAAAGTTATGATGGATGTGTGTTATTTTTAGATAATTTTGCTTAACTTTATCCACTTTGAATGTTGTTTTAGAAATTTCTTTTTTTTTTTTTTTTTTTTTTTTTTTTTTTTTTTTTTTTTTTGAGACGGAGTTTCACTCATGTTACCCAGGCTAGAGTGCAATGGCGCGATCTCGGCTCACCGCAACCTCCGCCTCCTGGGTTCAGGCAATTCTCCTGCCTCAGCCTCCTGAGTAGCTGGGATTACAGGCACGCACCACCATGCCCAGCTAATTTTTTGTATTTTTAGTAGAGACGGGGTTTCACCATGTTGACCAGGATGGTCTCGATCTCTTGACCTCGTGATCCACCCGCCCCGGCCTCCCAAAGTGCTGGGATTACAGGCTTGAGCCACCGCGCCCGGCCTGTTTTAGAAATTTCTAATATAAAGCATAGAATCCTGTTTTCTCTTATAAAATTTAATTTCAGCAGGAGGATCATTGGAGACCAGGAGTTTTGAGGCTGTAGTGTGCTATGATGGAGCTGTGACTAGCTACTACACTCCAGCCTGGGCAACATAGCAAGACGCCATCTCTTAAAAAAACAAACAAACAAACAAAAAAAACACTGGCGCAGTGGCTCACGCCTGTAACCCCAGCATTTTGGGAGGCTGAAGTGGGTGGATCACGAGGTCAGGAGATCAAGACCATCCTGGCTAACATGATGAAACCCTGTCTCTACTAAAAATGCAAAAAGTAGCTGGGCGTAGTGGTGCGTGTCTGTAATCCCAGCTACTCAGGAGGCTGAGGCAGGAGAGCTGCTTGACCCAGGGAGTCAGAGGTTGCAGTGAGCCGAGATCGTCCCACTGAACTCCAGCCTGGTGACAGAGCAAGACTCCATCTCAGAACAACAAAGAAAACAAAAAAACACCTAAGCGTTTCCAGTGATAGGCTTATATGAAAGTCTAAAATGAAAAGTTATTTAAAGAAACCTAGATCTTCATATTTAAAACCAAACAGAAACACATTTGGAATATATTTACCAACAGAATACTCTGATATGGCATTCTTAAATTTGAGACAGAAAAATCAGCATCTTTTCTCTGAGTGTCTTAGTAAGCTGCTGAAAAGGACAAAAGACTCTTAAAATGGTAATTTGCACAGTGTATTTGCTTTAAGGTCTCCTTGAATATTTTTGTACCCAATACAGAGGGTAACAGAAAATAGAATTGAGAAAAAAACTGTTGCATCTGTTGTGTGCGTCGTATCATTTTCAGATCACCAAATCAGATTCAGGAGGCATTTAAAATATGTGTATCAAAAATATTTAGCTCTCGGGATTGAAGTCTGCTCTCCCTCCATTCTCTGCGCAGATACTGACTGAGCACTTACTGTGTATGATGTGTCTGGACCTGGGAAAGGAAATAAAGACGGATGTCAGTGGGCCCCATCTCAAGTAGATTTTCAGCCGCCCCCAAGAATCTTGGGATCCAGGGTTGTAAAATAAATACAGTCTTTTATTACATCAGTAAAAGGCATCTCCAAACCGATATTTTTCTTTTGTGTATCCAAGAAATGTCTTCGGATTTTCAGAGCACCAGGATTGGTTAAACTAATATTTTCATACCCTGGGTAACTGTAACAGTTATATTCCTCTTCATGGCCATTGGCACGGGAATGCAAAATTTTTGCATCCAAGATTGCCAAGGTGCCCCCTACGTGTACACTGAACTCATCTGCCCAACTAGCTACTCCTATTCCTTATGGGGTTTGAGTACTTTTTGTACCGGAAATTGGAGATTACAGCACTGGAGGGATCATTCAGTCTTACCTCATTTTAACAATGATGGGCAAAATGAGTGAGGCATGGGTTATTTTTAAGTGACTCTCAGGTTGCAGAGCGAGGTGAGTAGAAGAGCCAGTTCTGAGATGCAGGGCTGAGGACCTCCTTTGCTCTCTGTGGATTGACTTCTTTTCCTTTTATGATGTTCTGGTTTTTAAAGGCAGCAGCCTCCTTGGAAAGAAGAAAAGCATCCTGGGTTCAGGCTGACATCCGCACTTAACAGGTACATGGGTTGTTTTCTGGTAGAAGTAGATTTTAAAGCAATTTAACCGTCCTGGTATTTTTTTACGTAGCATCCAGGTGCCAGAATGTGTTTATGTAAGCTGTGTTGATATGATGTGTTAAAAACAAAACCCACCACTTACTAAGTGTCTGCAGGGGACAGTACAGAGCACACGAGGTCTGGGGTGGGACTACTAGGGCTTGCGTCTTACTGTGTGACCTTGAGCAGATTATTTAACTTCTGATTGCCTCAGTTTACTCATTTGAAGAATGGAGATCATGGTCCCTAGATCATGGGTCGAAGAAGATAACTCTGGGAAACGTACGTGCTGAATAAACATCAGCCATTGTTGTAATCACTTTGGGCCAAACTCCTCAGTCATTTTTTTCAATCCTGACAACACCCTACAAGAATGAGTATTATTT